ACTGGTCAGCTTGCTCAGATAGGTCTGTGTTTGTGGGGGCCCCTCCCTCCATTTTTGATTTAATGAATGGCATTTGCTGGTTATAACAGCAAATCAAAGACTCTCCACACTCCCAAGATAAAGTATTTTGTTTTTTAATTCTCTGTTCCTTTTGCAAACAATTTTAATGATGGTGTTAAGCTGTACACCCCAGGACATTTATCTTGTCTAAGGAGTAAGTGTACAATTGATCCTTTTTTTAATTCCGTACAACCCATGAATAATGTAAATGTTCGTTTTCTTTAGGATATAAAGAGAGCCCTAGGGTGCTCTAAATCTGTACATGTTATTGTCATAAAATGCATACTGTTGATACAAACCACTGTGAACATTTTTTTATTTTAAAATTTTGTTTCAAAGGGATTGCATTTTTCTCTCATTGTCCTGTCATGTACAAACTAGTTTTTATAGCTATCAACATTAGGAGTAACTTTCAACTTTGCCAGCATCACTGGTATGATGTATATTTAATTAAAGCACACTTTTCCCCTACCGTATACTTAAAATGACTATTAAAGCCATTCTTTTAAATGTTTGTGACTCTTTCCTAAAGCCAAAGTTTCTGTTGAAATACATATTGACACACCCTGAAATACAAGGTAGCATGGTTGTGTACACATGCCACCTTCTTAGGGATTCAAAAACAGGTTTTTGATTTTGAATAGCAATTATAAATATAGTGCTATTTAAGCCATTAATGATTAAAGTTAATAACATTTTGTACAATTTCCATATAGTCTATTCATTAAGCAATCTTTTTACAGTTACATCAGGCCTGAACCCGTCCATTCAGAAAGCTTCAAATTATAGAAACAATACTGTTCTATACGAGTGACCGATTATGCTTTCTTTGGCCTACATTGTTTGTTCTGCGGTGAAGTTGAGGCTTATAAGTCAAAACAAAGGAACTAACTTACTATCCACCAGTTTATACAGAACTCACAGTATCTATGACTTTTTTAAACTAAGATCTGTTAAAGAGAAATCTGTTTCAACAGATGACCATGTACAATACCATGTGGTGAAAATGAATTCAGACTTATTAAATGACGAACTTGTTAAATCCTCTCAGTGTCTGTTTATCAGCACAATACACACAGGAGAACTGTTGATGGTATATTGAATAGATTTTAATTAATAAATGGCTCTGGAATCCACACAGTTTCATTTTGGGCTTGTCTTCCTTCAAATAGTCTGTTTTCCAAAGATGACTTATAATACAGATGCTCATATTCTTTGCATTCTCACCTGGATAGAACTAGATTTCTGAAATAGAGGATAAACACTGAACTATCCTCCCTGCTATGGGGAGATGAGAATTAATCTGTATCCATAGTTTTCTGGGTTCCCTTGAACTTGGCAATAAACTCAAAAGCTACTTCGTTATTCTGACTTGCCACCTACATTTTCATGCACAGTTCTTTGATCTCTTCCCCCTTCCCTGAATCATGTAGAACATTGTTGTGTTGTATATTATTTGTCACAAGTGTGTTGAAAGTATATCAGTTTTTCAAAGTACACTAAAAGTGGGTGAAGAGCATATCGCTTGAAAAGCATTTTCTTCTGTTACCAGCAGGTTTCCCATAGGGCATTCACAGAGGACCGCCTAGTGAGGAACTGTTTGGAGGGCAGTAAGGGTGTGAGGGAAGAGCACAGGATCCCTGGGGTCTGGCCTCCCTTCTGTGTTAACAAGCTTGGGTCCTGAGGCACCTGGCCCCTCCTGGTCTGTTCCTTTGGCTGTGAGGGAGGTTGGACTTCATGACCTTCATACTCCACATTCTATGACAAGTCCAAACTTGTGTTATTTTACTTTTACATAATATTCTCTAAGACTTCTCTGACTACAGGAAGAAAAAGAGCAATAATTGTGTCAGAGGCGACTTCCACATCTTTAATCTATGCCTTAAACATTATGAATTGGGGGCCGGCCCGGTGGCGCACTGCTACAGTGCGCCGCTTGGGAAGTGCGGTGGCGCTCCCGCCGAGGGTTTGGATCCCACATACAGACCGGTTCCCGCTCACTGGCTGAGCGAGGCGCGGGAGCAACGCCGAGGGTTGCGATCCCATTGCCGGTCCCGGTCCGGTGCGGGGGCGACACTGAGGGTTGCGATCCGTTGCCGGACACGGAAAAAGACAGAAAAAAAAACCATTATGAATTGTCACTTGTAGGATTTCAAAAGCCTAAACGGTTGTAAGATTGGGCCAGTCTGCTTGAGTTATACTATCTCATTGCAGTGTGTCATCTAGCTTATAAACTTATTTCAGAGAACATAAGCATATAGCATCGGCTGAGTAGAAAATCAGTCTTTAGTTTCAGGACATGGGATCCTTAGGAGAGACTCAACTAATTTGAAATTGATGTGACAACAGAGCTTGAGGCCTTGACCTATAAATCCTAGTGTCCACTAACCTTTTTTCCCATTCCTCCTTTATCTCCATGTGCCTTTATAACCTAGTGGTTACACTCTAAGACTAGTCTCCTCTCCTAGCTGTATGATTTGAGTGAGTGGCTTGAATGCTGAGCCCAGTGTCCCTAGCTATAAAACAGATGGTAGTAAGCTGCCTCGTATTGTGAATCTTGAATGAAATAATGTGATGTGTTTAGAAAAATGATTGACTCATAATGAAATTCAGTAAATGTTTCACTATTTGTTGCTTTATAATAAGTCCCAGTTGTTTCATGTCTTTGAGTTCTATGCAGCACCTGCCTCTTGTTTGTAGCTTTCTTATGACCTGATACTGAGCCATGGATAGCTAAGCATCTCTGAGCACTTAATGCATACTGCATAGAGAACACCATTATAGACATCTTCAGCAGATACAAAAGAACCATGAAGCATGAAGTTGTTGTTGTAGTTATTAGTGTGATATTTAAATTCTAGTTTTCTTTTAAGTAAAAGGTATTCCTGGTCTCAAGATGACAGCACCATTACAAATCCATACAGAAAGACAGATGATGCCAGCCTTATGTAGCTAAGTAGTCTGTATAATACAGTTTAACGTCACCTGTTGGAATCACTGATTTGGTACCCACAGACCAGACCTGCCCACTTCTAGCTGCAGTGGACAGCACAGATGCCAACATAGCGTTCTTGTTCTTGAAGTACCTTGATTTAAGACTAGAGACTTCTCAAATAACATACACATAAATGGACTGAGGAGCACAGGGACTAGGAACAAATCACCGAGTGCTGAGCCACAAAGGTGACACAGCATTTAGACTGATGGAAAGGAAGAGAAATCACCTGTTTCCCAGTGTTAGGACCATGACGGGAGTTTGAAAGGGAACTCAAGTTTTGGGGAAGTGAAGATACAGGACCAACTAGTAAACTCAGGCAAAGTGAGCATCATGATATCCAAGAAGTGCTTAAAAAACTTTAGAGTTGTATTGGCAGTTTGCAGACTAAGCATGTGATTTGAAACGCCCACCAAGACAAGAGTCTCATAATCCAAGTATCCCACGATTTTAGTAGTGGAAAGAAGGAGACTAAGCTGGGGATCTGCATGAGGATAAGGAAGAGATGTTTGCTCATGTTTGGGTGTATAGAAGATAGTAAAGAGAGCTGCTTCTAAAAAGCAGATTAAAATAGTGTTGAAGTGCCATGTTTCCATTTTCCTCTTGAGAAAAAGACCCAAAGCTCATTCAACCCTATGGACCCAGCTAGTTTCAATCTGCAGGGACGGTTTTAGTGAAAAAACTTTGTTCTGCAAATCAAGTGTACACATCAGCCTAGACTAAAAGAAATGACACCCCTGCCCCAGGCTTTGGTTTCCTCACCTACAAAATAGGGAAAACTAGAATACTTACCTGATGGGATTGTGAGGATTAACTCACCAAAACTATCTGCAACTTGACTTACACATAATAAGCATTCAGTAAACATTGGCTAGCGTAAGACACCAAACAATATTTCTAAGATTTACCAGTAGTGGAACAAAGGAAATTCAAGTTACGTTAGGAAAACTTGGCCCAGGCACAGGCAAAGTCATTTTTCATCCATCCTTGGTGACTTGTGTGTGTGAGCTTCAGAAGAACAGTGAAAATGAAGACAGACTAAGCATCTTCAGCCTCAGTCCAAGACTCAAGTAGAATGAATTCCTGGCCTCCCCGAATTAGTGCATAATTAACGATTGTGTAATCACAGACATTACTGCCATCCATCTGATCAGCACAACAGCTTCATTAGCTCCAGCAGGCTTGGCATCAGACTTATGGCAAATATCTGAATAATTGCAAATACAGGTAAGCATTTTAGATTTTGGTTGTGAGAATTATCTATAAATTTGTAAGTTATTGAGATATATGTTATAAGACTAAATCACCTTAATTATGTAAACTTTGTAATCAAAAAGTTAAAACTAAGAAAGTTTGCAATAATTACATAGAGAAATAGAATGTTACCTAGATAAGGTCCGGAAGAAATTATACTTTTTTTTTTTTTTGGTGGCTGGCAGGTATGAGGATCCTAACCCCCCCAACCAAGGGTGTTATAACACTGCACTCTAAACCAACTGAGCTAACCACCCAGCTCAATTTCATACTCTTGAACAAAAGCTTATAAGAATTTAAAAATATAAGGCGTGCAAAATATTGGAAATGGCAATAATAAGTGCTTCTGAAAATAGCGTCTTGAGGCACTGCACAAAGCCTGAGATCTAGGGATTGTGTAATATTAAATCATTGCCGGGCTGGCCCGGTGGCGCACTCGGTAGAGGGCAGCGCTTCCGCCGAGGGTTCGGATCCCACATACAGACCGGCCGCTCACTGGCTGAGCGAGGAGCGGGGGCAACACCGAGGGTTGCGATCCCATTGCCGGTCCCGGTCCGGTACGGGCGCGACACTGAGGGTTGCGATCAGACAATGCTGTTCAAACTTTTGACAGGTGCACCCTTCACATCAACAGCCCTCATATGTAACATGAATAAAATCAGAATCTGTTAGAGGCAGGGACTAGGGGCCACTTGTCCCTACTAGCTTTCACCCCCAACTATTGAAATCACCGCTCTAAGAGAAACATTGGCTGCTACTTCCAGGCAGTCTTTAAATTGTGTTTGTAGACTAGCATTGATAAGATGTCAGTACCACCTTCTACTAGAAGAACCCTCCCAGACTTTGTGATGCCTTGTGTAAGATCCAAATAGCTAAGAAATTAATCCAAGTATTCACATAGAAAGTCAAACAACCGCTTTCAGAGTTATTTAGGGGACATAGTAGATCAGAAAAGCATTCTGCAGATTTGAACAAAACATCCTTTAGGAGATCGGAGGTTTACATTGAGGGAGGTTCAAGTGCCACTTTTTTTGTTGGTTATATGTGTGTAATTTAGTTATATTTCAATGTGTGTGTGTGTGTGTGTGTGTGTGTATGGTATATTGTCATTTTATGTTATGTATTTTATATACTATATATTTTTAGTGTCTTTCTTTTTGGTGAAGCATCTTAATGTAGAAGAATACATAAAACAAACACCCACATATCTACGTCCTTTGTTACGAAGTAGAATATTACCAATATCTTAGGAGTCCCCTGTGTGTACCTCCTCAATTACATGTTTATCTCCCTCCCTGCATAGCTAACCACTATCTTTGACATTAATGATTTACTTCCTTCTTTTTTATGGGGGAGGCAGCTGGCCAATATAGGGATCTGAACCCTTAACCTTGGTGTTAAAACACCGTGCTCTAACCAACTGAGCTAACCAGCCAGCCCTACTTCCTTTTTTTTTTTTTTTTTTTTTTTTTTTGCATGTGTGTATCCCTAAACAATATATTGTTAAATTTTGCCAATTTTTGAACTTCATAGAAAGAGAATAATACGGTATATATTCTCCTGTGAATGATTTCCTTCAACTTTTTTTTCTTTTTTTTAGAGATTTATCCGTGCCACCTTGCCCAATTCCCACTTTATGGTTTCAAAAACCATAAGGGGGGGGGTGGTTCTTCCTCTTGCCTTACAGGGATCCAAACCCTTGACCTTGGTGTTATCAACACCATGTTCTCACAAGTGACCTAACTGGCCAGCCCCTTTCTTGCCTTTTCTACTTGTTTGAAGTTATATTCTTTTTGATTATTCTTTTAGTGTTTACCCTAGTAATTTTAATTTGCATTATTAATGTTAGAAATTATCTTTTTCAGTATGTGTATGTCTAAATAAAAGAAGAAAAAAATTTTTTTAAAAGTTATTTGCTCTTCTTCCCATTCTCTCCCCTTTGGGGTTTATAATGAGATGTGTGTTAGAAAAATTTTTTTAAAGTTATTTGCTCTTCTTCCCATTCTCTCCCCTTTGGGGTTTATAATGAGATGTGTGTTAGACCTCATTCTGTCTTCCATTTCACTTTAACCTCTTGTTTTTTCCCTCTCGGTCCCTGTGGTCTCCATTGTTGATAATCTCTTCAGCTCTGTTTTATAGTTTACTATTTTTCTCTTCAGCTGTGCTTTATCTAATTCATCCACTGATTTTTAAATTTTAATTTACCACATTTTTATTTCAAGTTCTTTTGGGGTTTTTTGTTTGTTTTTCAAATTTTGCATAGTCATTCTTTGTCGTCTGTTAGTCCGTGCTAATCTTTTTTACACTTTTTAGACTTTTATTTCTCTAAATATAATAACCATGGTCATTTTATATTCCACCTGATTATTCCAATATCTGAAGTCTTCGTTGATCTGTTTCTATCATTTGTTGTTCCTACTGGTTCTCATAGTTGTTTCTCTGTGTGTTTTGTGATTTTTGACAGAGTTGCCCATTTTCCTTGCCTATTTATCCATGGGGATTCTCCGTGGCCTGGGTTGAAGTTGAGTTCCTCCAGAGAAGGTTAGAGTTTGCCTTTGCTGGTAGATTGGGGCAGTACCAACCCAGAACCTTTGAATTCCTCTCTTGACATTTTTCAGGTCATGCAGGTTCTCATTAGGCCACAAACCTGCAGGTCCTCGTTGTGAATTCTCAAAGGAGAGCTTTTTTGCAAAGAGTAAATGGTGTTCCCATTGGTAATAATTTTAGTGTTTGTATTGTGCACATATGTGTTTTGATAAATAAACAGTGGAATCATACATCTTCCAGCCATCAGGGAACTCTGAGTTGTTAATAGTTTTTGAACAGTATAGATGGGTGAGGTTCAATTTAAAGTTTTTACTCCTTTAGGAGCTGTTTTTTTATAAAGAAGTAGGAAAACTAACTCAAAATTGTAAGATTTTCTGCAAATTACACTGCTCAAGCTAGACCTTACATAAAGCAGGGTACCCATTTCTATAATGAGTTGGTGGATACATGTGGCCTTGAGCTGATTACACTAGCTTCATAGTCTGCAGAAGTACACAGGGGCAGCATCTCAAAGCTGTTCCTCCTCTTAGAGACCACACTGGGCAGTGGTTAAGGCCTGGGCTTTGCAGTCCATGGCCTGGGTGGGAATTCTTACTCTTCCACTTCTGGTTGTGTGGCCTTGCGCAAGTCATTTAACCTCCCTGTACCTCAGTGTTCCCCTTGGTTAAAACAGGGCTGATATCAATGAAAGAACTGAGGCCCAGACCCATAGTAGCTGTGCAGTAAATATTAGGCATTATTATTTTTTGACTTTCTTGCCACTAAATCCAGGCAGCAATGATGAAAAGTATAAAACAGTTAAAATTTTAAAAAGGAACAACCAAAAAACCATCCTCCTGCTGTCATGTAGTTGATAACCAAAAACGGAATTAGTTTGCAAAAAGCACTGATAATGAAATTCTATTCTACAAAGATCCACAAGCTTTCTACAAGTACACACAGCCAACTGGGAAACTGTAGGAAAAGTAATTTCACACACAGTCTCAACAATCAGTTACAAAGTAATTGATTCCTTTTATATATTTAACATTTTTAACCTTTTTAATTCATTTATTTTTTGAATAGGTATAATACAGGGTAATTTTTTTTTTTTTTTTTTGTCCTTTTTGAGACCGGCTGCACCACGCTCAGCCAGTGAGCACTGTGAGCGCACCGGTCATCCCTATATAGGATCCGAACCTGCAGCGGGAGCACCGCTGAGCTCCCAGCGCTGCACTCTCCTGAATGAGCCACGGGCTCGGCCCAGGGTAAATCTTTTTTTTTTTTTTT